CTACAAATCTTGTAGTTTTAGAAGTTAACATTTTATTACTACGTTATTTATAAACTTTCTATTTTTGCAAAGTATACTTACAGTTACTAGATTTAACTGTCAGCAAAATACCACGTTTTACTCTTAACTTAATAATGTCGCATCCAAAACTTGTGTTACAAATGTGAACAATGAAATATTCTATTTCGCTGAGATTCAGTTGAATCTAACATTACACTGAATGTCATGCAAAATTTATGTCAGCGTGTATGCATGTATGTAGTAGGTACCATTAATAATAATACAGCAACCCGCCGTAAAAGAGGCAACATGTGTTGTTACTTGCACTACGTCGCATACGTCGTTTCATTATGAAACACATTTACTTCATAACACACGTGGCAGGCGAAATGACGAGAAAGAATAATAACCAATGAACGGATTTTGCTTCTTGTTTTTTCCGAGTTATTATTGTTTTGTTGGAATATCGTAAATGCTACCTGTTTGTTTCATACACAAAAGAAATCAGAGATCAGACCTATATTTAGCGTAAATATTTAGTTGTTTAAACAAACTAAACACTGTTTCAAAGCAGGGTGTGATTTATGTTAGGAAAGACTTAACTGCACAGGAAATACAAGCGCAAGCTATGAAGCGTCTATTTATTACTGTTCTGTCTCGCACTGCGTAAAGCGTAAACAATTTACAGCGTGTAAGTGTCGCAAACGCACCGCGGGCGTTAGGGGTCATTGTCAAGTGTTCGTTTGTTCAAGATCGAAACTGCAGTATCGGAAGTGTCTCGGATCGGTCGGCTTACTACCAGATTTATCGCCGCGATCGGGACCTGAACGTTTCCCCTGTTACAAGTGTGCCAGCGAACCGTGAATTTTATTGTTTCCCCTCGCACGACTCTGTGCAAAGTTTTGTGTTCACACGTACTGTATGGGACGATTCGGTAAGCCGATATTCATTTCGTGACTTTCGAACGCCGCACATAACTTCCATTTTGTTAGGTTTATTCTAGTTACGTTTTTATTTTTGAATTGTTTTTAAACTGAGCGAATGTGAATTGAAAATCTTTCAGCACACATGATGATGTCACGTCAGTTTTTTATTGAAAAGTGGAATGATTGCTCAGCCCTATACTTTCGATGATTTTACTGGCATACACCAAGATACATTAATCTAAAAACCGAGCTACTAACAAAGAACATGCAAATGTAACCAAACTGCTGAAACTAGAAACACTAAAATCCAATTCAAATCGAGAAAACCAAACGACCTCCATGTGCGTTTGCAAAAACAACTTTTAATAGAGCATAACATGTAACCAACGTTTGTTTACATTATCAAGCAAAGTATTGAGCAATGTGACGTTATGAATGCATCATTATCTTGAACAGAGATACGTAATTCGTACATACCTGGTCATTATTACCTACACGAATAACAAAAGAGTCGTTGATAGCAGTTCATTGCGCGGTGCTTGCGACTCCGCAGGGCAAATGGCTGTAATAACAATGGAGAAAGCACCATTTATTTTGCATTGCTCGCAACTATAGGATAATATTCGGATATTAGATTCGAAATGTATTGAGCATTTACGTTGTATGCACTTATACGTTTAAGATTAAGGTTGTTTAGGTAGTTGAGAAGTAGGTTTGGTAAGTAGAATAGAATAAGATGATTTAATGCTAAGTTAGGTTCTAGTAACGGTGATCATTGATAACGTAATATAATAGCGATTGTCTCATAGGAGTGATATGCGCCATGTTGTTTTGGAAACTATTGAAGCTTTGCCATTACTTTTATTTAGGAACTACGAAACCCTAGATAATATAATTACATACATATATACGAAATATTTTACTAATTAATGAAAAGTTTCCATTTTAAATCGGTTAACAAGAGATAGTGGAAGGGGGGTATAGAGGCCTTTATCCTATTACGATATTCTGTAACGGTCAATTCGAACTTTTGAAATGAGCTCGATTGCATTCTCATATGTCCTACATACATAACATCACGCCTTTTATCCCGGAAGGGGTAGGCAGAGGTGCACATTATGCCACTGTACAATGTAACACCCACTTTTCACTATTTAAGTTATGAGTCCCATGTAATAGGGGGTGAGCCTATTGCCATATACCGGGCAAAATATGTCATTGGTCAAGATTATTCACACTACCGATGACAAGGCTATCTTATGAATTTAAAGTTACAGAATAACCTGCCTGCAGTGGACGATCATGGCTGAATATAAAATAAATAAAAAATTGCGCTTCAACCAAATATCGTCGGTTTAAAAGAAAAAGGAATGTAACTCAGAAAGTACTAATTTTACAGTACAAGCGTTTAAAGATTTTAATTTCAAATTAGTTTATATCGAAATGGCTCTTGCGACATAGCCAAGTTAACCACGGAGTGAACTATTTAATGTATCATTTTTACATACAAACTAATATTGTTAGAAGACTCGTTTTATGCAATAACTTTATTTTCCAAAAAATAGAGATATTCCGTTTTTTCATTTAATCGACGATATGTAGTTTGTAAAAACGATTACTTGAATGCCGGTGTATAAGACACAAAAGTAAAACACATTGTGTCTCACGTACATCTGCGTTCCTACCACGGGTTAATCAATCTTAAACACATACATTACACAAGTATGACTGTATGTAACGATCAATTTCACCTTCCGAACGACCCTCTTTGACTCATTTGGACTTCAGATTTAGAAAAGAGAATAATAGGAAATCTTTGGGGATGTACAACAAACGTGATTTATTACGCTTATATGAATAATACATTGCCTACGGGGATGAATGTATCCATCATAACGAAACCACGATGTTTGCGAGGCACCGGATCATTATCCGATAATACAAATTAGTTTCAACGATGCTACTGTTGTTGGTTCTGGAATGCATTTATTGAACTGTTTACCTTAAAGCATAACAGCAGTTGTTCAGTGTATATATGTAGATATATGAACTTTTTGCTGTAGAAATGTGCACACTAATTAAATCTTATAACTCACTCACATTATTATAAATCAATACTAACATTAATCAGTACATACATATTTCTTTAATCGTAGCATGAATGGGTACACTTGTACTCGAGGACAAACAATATATTGTAGAACACGGAATACTCGGTCAGACAAAGCTCCGTTCTGAGTTTTAATCATTCATTTTCCCTCTAACTGTATGCAGGAACAAATTCTCGCATTCCTCGCAGACTAAAGAGCAAACATTTTTCATTAACAACGTGCATTCGGTGTTAACACTTTTTGTTCGTCGCCTCACACATGTGCAAATCTTAATTACTTTTAATTAGCTTTGTACCGTTCATTTCTTTAGATCTAGGATATTTCTTGTTTTCTTCGTACTCGTACATATAATTGTACAAAAACAATTCTTATTCGAACATGTCATTTATGGAGTTGTCCTCGTAAGATTTTAAATATTATTCAAAACATTCAGGTCTTAAGGTCTTATATAATCAGTACAGAAATTCGAAAATGTTCGCCTCTCGGAGACATCTTCCCTTCACCCTGCTTGGAGATTTTTCTCTAAAAATTGATGTAATGTGTCATTTATTACGCACATATGCCATGGCATGCCATAACTTAATGCAATGACATAACACAATGTCCTTTGAGGTCAATGATCGGATAAACAATCATGAAAATACTATAAATCTACGACTTCTCAAAGTCGTCACTGATAATATTGTTAGCATTTCTTATAATTTTGAAGACCCATTTGCCTGTACAATTCATCCCCTTTTCACCAGATAGGTAAGTTAAAACTAATGAACACTAAAGGGGGCGAGAGAATCTGATGTCGACAATAAATCCGATAAAGACCAATATATTTCGCATCTACTTTTATTAACAGGAGCAAACTAGCGTAGCCCTCATCTCGATTAGCTAACGTTAGTGTTTCAATTATCATACTAGGCAAGTGTCTACTTATGTGCTTAAAGCGTATCACCTGAATGCATATCGGATTATGCGCTGCGAGTATTAGGCAGGCGCGGTGTTTAATTTCAATTGCAATTTCGTGAATTATAGCCGCGGGTATTAAGGTTATGAATACATTCGTCTCTTAAACAACTTCGTGTATTCAACTCACGGTAAAATAAGGAAAACAATTCAATTACTTCATAGTATTTAACATAAGCATCCTCGTATTTGTCATACAAAATGTCGAGTCATTGTATATAAATAAATACTGGTTGTTATAATTTAATGGGATGTCGTGTTATAACACAGCTTGCAGTACAGAGAATTTAATTAAACGAACAATATTTTCCCACAGGGCATTCGTACTTTATTTTAGGAGTTTTAAAACTCGTTCCCTTTTTTCAGCAGCATGTGATCGTGCTCGCCGGTAGCAAAATGCATTCCAGTAACCTGTTCCTCCGAAACCCGTTAATAGCATTGTTTTCGTACTTCTTCTAGTCCACGTTTAAAAATAACGTGGAACGGTTCACAAAGCACACGTGTGTTCCAGCCATTAGTCCCCGGTATCGCTGGTCGGGAATGTATTGCGCCGAGTTGCGCCCTAAATCTACCGGCAAACGATCTAATTGCTCTTTGTATGGTACTGTTCCTTATGAAATGCTTTGCAGTTATGTTCGGGGCACACTTTAAGCTATTTCCAGAGGTACATGTTTGAAATAGTTTTGCTCAAATTAAATGGTTGTTTGCTTTATTGTTTCATTTTTGCAGTTAAACCGTAACAAATGTAGCATGGCGGGCGAAATGGTATTTGGGAGCCTGACTTTCATTTGAGATATTTCACTGGCCTACTTATGAGGTGACAGCTTGTTAGAGGGACCTAGAAATGCTAATTAAACGTAATGTTTCATGGACGGCGATTTTATGGTTTCTTAATTAAAGAAAATTAAATTATTCATGCTCTTGGTTAGTACCTACTCAAGGAGTTTGGACGTATAAAAGTGCAGGAACTAAAAGCGATTAGTGTGGGCAGAGTACAGTTCTGGTCATGGGTATCCAGGCTGCTATATTTGGGAATTGGACCGAACAGCCACCAAGTTTATCAATGTGTATTGGAGCGTGGGATTGTTTTCGAACGTTGCCTCTGCCGCGGAATGCAAACTTATGCCTTGTGTCCTACTTGATGGCCAATTACCTGTCCGGTACTACGGACGAGGTTACTTAGTATATGAATAGCTTTTAGTTTTATTATGCAGCTTTGCGTTTTAAATTACATTCATCAGTATATCAAGAGCCCAAACTATCTTTAATGTATTTCAAACTTTATCGATTTGAGCTAAAGTCGAAAATATATTAAATATTCTCAAGAAATAATAATCCAGAACTAGGTTAGTTCCTGGCAACAAGAAGTAGGTACTATTGGGATTTCGAGTTCTACTCCTGTATCCGGCAAATAGAAATTGTTAGTACCGAGTAGTTTGTACCTAGTTGTTTGACGTTATTCAGAGAGCTTATACAGGTAAATATGGGCTTTATAAGATAAAAAAAACTGACGTTCAGTCCCATCTGATTAAGACAGAGCTGACAGTTACTTGGCTGGAAAAACATGAGAAAAGATTTCGCGCGAAGTTGCTAACTAGTTCTGACTTAATTTAAAGAGCGCTACTGTTCTAAAGACGTAGTGAAACTAAAACGTTCTATGAAGTAGCGAGAGAAGTAAAGTAAGTTGAACGATTACTTAAAGTTTAATAAAAAATACTAAGTATATAAACGGATCATCAAGGCCTTGTGTTTTAAATTTTCCTGCTTAACCGTACTTTTCGTCAGATAATAGGGAACTTTTACTACCGGGCGTAGACACCGGGGCTACCAGATTTTGTTCGATATACTAAAAATTTCTTAATAGCTATAACATCTTACCCAACAATGGGAAAGCTGTTTGATTTTAGTGCTTGAATCATCCTACCATCCGACCTTCAGGGCAATTTTAGGTTACTACCTAAATCATGGTGACTACCTAAAAGGTTACCTGTCTATAATAGTTAATTGGAATAGATTTCTGGAAAGGAAAGACTTCCCAGAACATGATGGCACAATCAAACAGACTATTAATTGGAATGATCTTTAATTGGTTGATACATCTGTTCGAATGGATATGAGTACGTACATACTAATTGCTGACAATAATAACACAGGAGCGGCTTAACAAAGACCAATTAGGTAATGATTACGGTTGATATACATCTGTACTTACATACCAATCCATTTATATATACATAGTATGAGTTAAACTCGTACGTACCACAGCTACACTAATTGTGATATGATTTGGTTACTAACCACTCAAGTAAATTAGTTTCTGATTCACATCTTATTTCTACAAATAATTAATGTAGCAATAAAGGTGCTGTAGATGTAAAGTATTCCATGGTTTGTTAGTGGGACTCTAATCAGGTAATGCTCATTAAGATTACGTCATAATTATATACCTTTGATACAGTACATTGGCATACGTACCAAAGAGTTCGTAACTAACTAGGCGGAGTCTTGATATCACCAGTTATTTGAGACGATGAGTTGAAGATGGAGGTCAGTCAGTGGTATGCTACAGGAGAGGCCTATTTCCAGCCAGTAGAAGGAAACCGATGATTATGATGATGACGACAATGTGACTCCTAGTTTTCACGTGTTATGTTATGAATTCCATTATAATATATTACGAAATACCACATTTTTAGTCTACGAGAAGAAAGGGAACATTCCCTAGTAATTATAACTATGCTAAGAAATGTTATTTTACCACATTATTGTTCAATTCTATTTTACAGAAGCCTACATGATTTTGCGTCGATGTGATTGGCTGGTGTCGGCGTTTAGCGGTTTAATGGTGCGGTGCGAGACTTGGAGGCGACACTTGCAGCGGTTTGTGATATCTCAGGCGAAGAGACGTAAGTACATTTACGTATAGGTTGAAGTATTTATACTACTTTATATTATAAAAAGATTTTTCTTAAGTTTATAATTTACCGCTTCGTTCTCAGTTTGTTTATAAAAGTATAGACTAGAGCCTTTATGTGAATTAATTATAGTACAGGCAATGTTTGTAATATTAATCAAATAATAAGTCTGTGGACCATGGACAAGACTTCACTTCATTTTGATTTTTTAGCTTTTATTTTATTTTTATTTTTAGTTATGTTATGTGTGTTTTGCGCAAAAATAAATGGTTTTTCTTTCTTTCTTCTTTCTTTCTATTAGCAAATATATGGTACTTAAGTTTTGACGTTTTCATAAATATTATCGACACAAGTTCAAGTAAACAATGTTATTGATGGCTTATTAACATTATGTTCTAAGTTGTATCAAAATGGCAATTAATTAATTACTACAAGGTTTACATGTATAACATTCGATATACGTAATTGTCATAGCTTTAAAACCAGGTAATTTCAAACCCTGTTCATGTTCAGGAAAAACGCCGAAATTTTTGCTGGCTAAACTGCTTGATAGAATTACAGAGGTAGTAACCATGTTATCGTTCGCTACGAGACTTAGCCACCTCACCTCAAACTCCAGGTGACTCCCGAGCCAGAGACGAATTCGATCGCAGAATACTAATGCAGGGAACGTAATTCCTTTTGGTTTTTACGCACTTAATTAGAATTTGAATCGATTGAACAGTATCAAGATGCCGCGAGCATAGTAAATAAGGAGCGTACATGAAAGAAATTGAAATGTATTAAAGGTGAAGGTGAAGGAAATTATTTATTAAGCATTGAATGAAAGGATACAAGTTAAGACGTATTCAGAACCATACATTTTTTATTTTTGTTCTTAAAATGGCGTGTGATGTAGGGCATGCACCAATTGGCAATTTTGTATTATTATCCACAGTATAAAATGATGAACTAAATGTTCTGTTATATTCGAATACAATTTCAAACGAGTAGTACGTAACAAAATGGTACACACAATTTCATCGCAGAATGAACACATAATTATTGAAATTAAACGCGATAGATGGATTGTTAATGATTAATATCGCGTTAATAAACAGTTCCATTTGTGCAATCCATTATCCTGAAAATGCGCTTCGTCGACGTATGTTTGTTTTATCGTAATATTTACCTTCACGTTCAGTTAGTCCGGCGCTGAAAATAAAAGGATGCAGAATTTGTCGAGTCGTGGTCATAAATATCCGAAAGCGACAGCCGGGTCCGCCATTTTCCTGTTGACAAAATCACACCCACAATACATTCAAACTTGTCTAAAGTTTCCATTGTTTATAGCGCTCTCGCAGATTGTAAGTGGAGATCTATCTGCACCCTTTTAATTTAATTAGATTCATTCCTACTTCTGCTAATGGACGTGACTCTACCTTTTCAGGTTAAAGTAATGGGAAGTAAGTAGGAACTTGTGCCAATTGTGAAAAGTTCTATTATATTATCGCCATCATGATAGGTTTACGTTGAACGATTCCAGTCTACGACGTCGTGGTTTCTCGTCTCTAGAATTGATAGCGTCCATTGAAGTGTCGGGACATCGAGAGCGTCTTGAAAAGAAAATAATCTTGATGAAACGTCTCGCTATAAAAAGAGAACGTCTCCGTTGTCGACGCCTCACGCTTTCGTTGAAATAAACCGGGACACGCCGAGACAAAGCTGCAAACTTTATTTTCATACTAAGCCTCGGAACCGTTATTGTCTTTGTTAATAACCTCACTTGAGTATCCATCTCCCTAGGAAAGTACGACATTCTCGCTAATGACTTTTCTTTTAATAAAATCAAATTATTTGCGAGAAAACATTCGTGTAATATGTTTTTGTTGGCAAACATTTGCTAACATGAGTGATTGGTTTATAAAATAAGATGGGGCTCAATTTTATTGCTTGCCACTCAAATATGTGTTTTAATGAAATATTGGTAATATACTAGCGTAAATAAGCGTTATTTTATCCAAATATTTACATATTATAATGGCCTCGCTTTGAGTTTTTACACATTTAATGTAGTTACAGAGATATTTCACAGGGGTCTTGCGAAATATGACGACGAAATTTAATATTTCTTTTGCTGGATTTATGAATGTAAAGGTACTTAGTATATTAAATTGCTTTTGCAAAATGAAATTAATGCACCAATTTGGCGATAAGTTCCATGGTACAATGGAAATAAGTTGCTGTATTCATAGTTTCATGTATTTCCTTATTATCGTGAAGTTGACAGATATATAAATGCCATTACATTTGAGGAGTTTCGAAGACGAAGACGGTTGGGCAGGTACTCGTGATACGAGGCAGGAAGTCTCGCAAACTGTTCTCGTTAGTTCATACATAGGTACCTATTTGTTCCCGAGTCGCGATAAAGTTTAGCCGAAAAGTTTTGTGATATTCATCTTGAACTCGACAACGGATAAGTTCTGTTGGAACTTCATAGATCATGAGATACGTTTAGCGACTTTCGTATTGTTATTCTTGAATTACGACGTTTTGTGTCAACATTACAAACTTGTAATGAATAAGTTTTGGTAGCTGGCTGTATTTTATACGGATTTCAGACTTTGTTGGAAAATATACTTTATATATATACTTTTCGGTACCTACTTGTATAATTATGTGTTATTTCCGATCCTTCTTTGAAATATATATTTTATTTTGATGTTCTGGTAGATGCTAGTGCGAATGCTAAGTTCGGAATATCCGGATTTGTTGTAATCATTTAAAAGCTTTCTGTATGATTGACATGCACGGTAATTATTTAATCTCCATTACAATCGCATTAATAACTATTTAAAATTATCTTTAGCTCTTCGATAAACATTAGGCACAATACCTACCAAGTCTCATACTTCATATTTCAGAAACAAATAAACCATTGCTATAAAAATGACAAGACATTACAATTACAAGATCCACTCATTCAAATAACAAGTCATAATAATAAGCACGCCAGACCACGCCAGACAGGAAAAAGTAATTGCTTGGCTTACAATTATACAATAAATGTCCAGAGGGCGCTTATAAAGGGACTTGATGACTCCGGGTCAAGTGGCTTGATTGTCAGGATTAAGTCCTGGGTGCGACTTGAGAGATATTGCCACACTGCTACTTACGATTGTGATCGCGAATGTCAGTTTGCCTCTCATCTCGACATGATTGCCAGGTACCTCGTTAAATGTCAGCCTGTAAGTCTGGTAAGAATCAGAGAAGAAAAACTTTATTTAGAAAGGTTAATGGACTGTCAAAAGTGTGACGTCATACCTGTGAGTAGAGGTACCTTTTAGTTACAATTTTCACATTCTCTGGTCTGGTCTGGTTAATAGTCTGCCACCTATCTTGTGCACTGATAGTTTTTGTTCGTTGAGAAATCTTTAGACAGCACTGTGAAGTGTGAACATGTTTTTCGCCTTTGCTGAGTGTTTGTCGCAACTTATCTGTAACTTAGTTAAGGTATACCTAGGAAAATTTTTTTTACTATTAATACTGAATTGGTGTTGTGTTGATTAACAAATTACTCTGGCTATAGGCAGACGTACCTACATCGTATGTATGTATGTAGTACTGTCTTGGGAGTGTAGTCCAGTCTAGCCTGACCTTCTCGTAAGTGTTTAAAAATTCACTGTCTCTCCACCCGTCTGTCTCTAACAGATCGACCGGCGATCGAAACTGACGCCGTCTTCATATATTGAAAACACTGGCTTAGTAATGTAGCCTTCAGGTTCTCATATATCTTTTGGGATCACACTTGTTTTTATGTTCTTACACAGGGTGAGCAAGATAGTGTCAACATCTATTTTTTTCGCAGTTACATAAAGGAAGGCTTACCTAGTTTGTGGTGCCTTATAAAAGGCGTAGTATTAAAAAATCCCCTTAAAGCCTATTATAAAAAATAAGGTTCAAATGACGACCAACACGGCCAATAAATCTTTAATTGTATCAACTTAAAGTTACGACAGCCGTTTAAGTGAAACACACCACATACACAGAACTAGAATACAAAACAGATAGGAATTTATCGGTTAACAGTATTACGTATTTGTAGGTACATACCTAGGTTATGTTATGTGTATGCATCCTTTGTGGTTGACCTATTCGGCACTGGGCCAAGCACGTACACAATTTACTTAGCCGCGGTCCCACCTACCCCGTGATTTGAATACACTTTAAACTTTAAAATATGTCTACGTGTTCTGTTACAGAATTGCACTCGGTACTTTGTGAAAAAATACGAGTGCCTCAGTGTAAGTAGTGAGTGCGTGGCTTACATACCAATCGCTAAAGTGCAGGAGTTCGGGATTATTTCGAAAAGAAAATGTTAATGCTGATTGGTTTGTTGTTGGCTTTACCATTGTAGGAGAGTTAAAATTTGTTCGTCTGGGAAAATGGATTTGTGAAAATAGATTTACAAAAATTTTTCTAACTATTGTAGGTAGGCAATGATAATGTGACGCGTAAGTGTGACGTGTTTTGGTAAGAGCGTTTCAAATTAAATAGCTAGTCAAATATTTTATGATATTTATGTGATTTATTTCCATCCTGAAATACCGTCGCGCCGTAGGAGGATCGGTAAAGCTGCCTATAAAGTAATTTTTTAAAAACAAGTATGGGCGCTAAGCGATATTAGTTTTTCTATTTAGGTTTGTACTTCAATTTACTATAAATGTTCTTCTTAGATCAGAATCACTATTATTAAATTATAACAAATACCCCAACAGACAGTGACGTTACACTGAAAATTAATTGAATTGAATTCGGTATGAAAATGAAAACAAAAAAATAAAAACAATATGTTATCCAGGTGATATCGTTTAAAAAGAACGAAACAATAGTGTGTTTGAAATACGAAAGAAAAATAAATGTCAAACTAAATCGAGTACAAACAAAACATTCATCGGTATATTTGTAAAAGAAAAGTCGGATCGAACTTTACTGTGATCCTTTTTTTCGAGGGCGAAATCGGAGATTAGTAAAGTTATCCCTAAATCGAGTAACGCATACGGATTTGGAACTCATGATATAGAACTAAGTTCGATACAAGTTCTGAGGTGTTATAAATAACTAAATTGGTTCACTGTTATTTCCTTCCCTAGAATCTGACGTGAAAGTAAAAGTTGGTGAACTTTTAGTTTTCTCTTTGCCTTTAAATAATTTTATAGGAGATGGGAAAAGTTCGAGGGTGGTTGACACCCCTCAAACTGTTACATTAGGTACATAGATAATAACCTGTCACTTACCAGTCAATAAAGTTGTGCTGAGAGTAAAATCTTACGATGGCAATGCGTACTATACCTACGTATTTAGGTTGTCATTGATTTGTCTTTTTTGTGTTGGAAACGAAACCTTCAAAAGGCCTATACAGATTTTGCTTCGCCAAAATAACGATGATGCATGAAAATCAGTGACTTATTACGTCGTAGCTGGGTATATTATGTAAACAATGTTAATTCAATACGTATTTTGTAACTGTATAATGTATATGTGCGTTATTTCAAAACAGAAATATTACGTCGTTTATTTAGATTGTGAGCTATAACATGTTTAGTATTTTCCAGTCTGTGCATAAAACAAATACTCTAATACTGATCGTAACAAATTACAAAAACTGTTGATTTAAACTGATGAATTAATCCGACTCACAGTTGAAAGGCAAGAAAATATAGCAGTCTTAATACGAATTAATAATAATTATATTTTACAAATCAACCCCTATTGTGAATCATAATAAGATGCTTTGCATTGCGTCAATAGAGTCACACTATCGCATTAGAGCAACTAGGGAAGGGTGGCAGTTACCGACCCGAGCCATTATAATGAGGTACGACTAGAATTATGAAGTATAGAAATAAACATGTACCAAGTTCGTTGTTTAACTTATTAAAACTTTATAGTTTTGTAGCTTAACTTACTAAGTAGTTAGTAAGTAAAGTGTATGCTACTACTGAACGCGGGGAAGTAGCGACTACGATATTACACGTGACGTTCTGAAGTACACTTTGTTTTACTTAACTTTTGACTCGAAACTGCACCTTATTGTTTTAATGAAACTAAGATCTAATTTCGCGAACAGCTCACATGTGTATAGGGAGTTCGTGAACCGGATTTCATGAATAATTACCTGAAGTGATCAATTATGAGATCCTATCACGTAACCCACACATTTAGCTACGATATAAATGTATTATCCCTTACACAGCGTTTCAAATCAAAATTCATACAGAATCAACATCATTATTAATTTTTCGTATTCGTTTTATGAATATCAAATGGCAGTATGCCGAAAATTATTCCTGAATTAGCACAAGCAATGTTGAAGGGTTGAAATCATTTAATAAGGCAAATATTTTACTTAAGTCGGGCGATGCTGCGTCGGTTGAAGCATGGAGTTATGCTAACGAACTGCTATTATGTTTCACCCTCGTGTCACTGTGTGAAGGTTTTGCACTCTCGACCGAGTTACAGGGGTTGTTTTAGAAAATCATGTGTTGCTTTGGGGAAAAACTGGCAGTCGAAATACGCGCGGCGGCGGGATCAGACGCGTCGGGGATGCGGCCGGCGCTCGTTACGAACAATATTCCGATACCACCGCGCCAATATCAAAGCCGATTATCTAGGTCGATGAACAATAACACAACGGCGACAAATTATAAAAGAAAAATATAAAAGTGACGTCATCGTGAACAAATTGTCGATATAAACAGTGATCAGCCAAAGTTTATGGTCGTTTACAGAAAGCGTTAATGGATAGTAATGTTTTTCTGATATTTGGAATGACTAAAATAAGTAAGTATAAGTAATTAATTAGTATGTAGTTACGTCTGTCTCCATTTCGAAACGAAAAACTTTTTATGATTGACGAAAATGGAAAACTTTTCTGATGAGATTTCTTGTTGGCGAAATTGTTAATTAAACTTGACTGTTTTGTTTGGTTTGTTTCTATAGCAAGTTATTTATAAACAAATACAGGGGCATTCATTATGTTGATACGTTTTAGTATGAGACTGAAAGTATTTTGATTGTAATTACGTGGGTCAATAGAAGTCATACACGCAATGCTTCAATGGGCTACCATTCTTCGTTCGTGGGTAAAATTGCGAAATTAAACCATTTCGTAGGTAGTTAAATGTTAAAACATTTGTTTATATTAAAATGTATTGTCATAAGAGTACATTTTACTTACGTTAAAAAAATATGTACAGAATAATTATTAGACTTCATAATTGTATTGCACCAAATATCTGCGTTCGAGTTGGAATAAAAACCACACTTGATTTTTTATATGATTAATAGATCGAAATTAATAATTTTAAATTACTAATATAAACTTAAGGTCTTAAAGCACCGATTTGAAATTACTATTATCATTATACAAATTAGAAACAACCCCCTTTACAAAACCAATAGTTGATTTTCTTTACCTTTGACCAAAAACAGTCAATGGAAAATGTATGTAGATTTTCTGATAACAAGGTATAAAATACAATGTCCCACGTAACTTGTTACTTAGGTTCCATGTATGGCAATCGTTAAACCGACATCAAACGTGTTACTGACTCACGTGGCTTTAGCCTCACGAAGCTTCATTTTATTGGCTGTTAAAACCTTTTTACTAGTTAAAAATATATGAGAACTTAGCTATATATGTATGTTTGGTCTAATAAGGCTATCGAAGTCTTTATTTTTATATTTTAATCTGAGTTTTGTTACTGCGGCTCTTCTAAACCTATCCTTTTTCAGTTTTACCAAAATTATATTCCATAATATGGTATTAAAAATCCAGCATTTTAAATCACATAATTATATTTCCATAAAATCAAAACAAACAAAACAATAAAGTTAAAATTGCTACTAATGAAAACTCCATGAAAAATAAAACGCCGAATTAAATATTTAAAACATTTTCATCCCTCGCTTGATCTTATTTCCCGTTATCTCTCCCATTCTTTATTCTAATTAATAAATCTTAATATACCTTGAATCTTGAACAAAAAATAAACAAGACAGTAAGTTATCCCTCGATATGATGCTTCTGTGCGCATTAACAAACACTGTCCGAGCCGAGATTCTGAAGCAATTAAACTGATTAAGCGCTCGGATTGCTTCGCCTGCCACAGTTGACAGGGAATTTTAACTTGAAAACTGTATCAGACGGAGTTGCGAGCCAAATTGCCACAACTATCTAGTCGGATGCCTCAATTAACAACCGCCGTGTATTTGCTAGATTTATCGGTTAATTTCTGCTCGGTTTGGAATTGGGTCTCGGAATCAAGCCTTTTGCGTTTTGTAATAGGTTATTTTATTTGAACACACGTTTTAAGTCCACAAGTGACGTAAAACAACACATGTTTTACACCTGTCATGGATTAGTGTTTACCAAGTCCATCACTTGAAACTTATTTCAATTTGAATTTATTTGCAAGTTAAACTTAATATTAATTAAATTTAAAGGTAGCTAGCTACAATTTAACCCTCTTCATTTTCGTATAAATAGTCCATTTAGACAAGTGTGAATTAAATGTTAAATTATCTTAATCTTGGTTTTTAATCATGCAAACGCAATTGGTGTAAAAAGGACAATACAAAATCAAAGTTGACGTATCAGAAATATCAAAGCGAACAGTATCAAGTCTATTTAAGTTAGTGAACTACTGGTACTTTGATTGAACACACCGATAGGTGAAACATACGAGTCTAGTATTAAAGCTCACGGACAACTTTGACAACGGACGGACTCGGCTCGCAATTAGAGAGGACTCACCCTCCCAACATTTACATTTTAATTTAAATTTCAAACTGACGAGATTCAAGATAAATTGGGCTGCGTATTTAGCGCAATAATTCGAGCCCGACGCCGACTCGCGGTCTCCAAATTAAGGAGCAGGATAATTGTTTGTGTTATAATTAATAATTGACATTAATATTGTGAACTCGCTACGGCCCGGGTTTAAACGTTGGATTATAAACCCCGCCTGTGCTGCCGTTAAACTTATTTAGGTGCGTAATTGAATAAGCGTACACGGTGCCATCGAAACCGGCATGTTGCCAGAAATATTTTACTATAATTTTTCATTCATTTTTGTCAGTAAAATAAGTGCAGTTGGACACATGACTGAATCTTTCCCCACAAAGGATGACGCTATACAATAATTTCCACTTAGTGTACAAAGTGACCGTACATTTTTGTAGCTACACAGTCTGGTGAATAAATGAAAACGTACTTTAAAAATCCGTCAAAAAATGATTGTTTGAATGGAAAAGCTATTTGCTGTAAACAAAGATTGCTGAAAATTCCAATTTGCGCAGGTATGTGTTAAAATGTACAAATAATTAAAGTGAAATATGCTGTTATTGGTGAATTTATGATATATTGCACGTTCACCACACTGCGGTTGCATCGGATGTCAAAGGCGACCGTCGATGATCGACATTCAATTATAAACTACAAGGCTCGTGTTCAATAAAGTTTTGCGATAGATCCATTAAATCATTGTCACTGTTTGACGCTTAGAGAGTTTGCCACATAACATAATATATGTTTTAAAGAACACAATTTATTTAATGTTTTCAAATAAAAAGGCATCACAATAAAATTAACACGACATAATGCACGAAAGTACACGTCTAGCCATAAAAACAAAACACGATAAAAATAGTCGCCATAATTCACTGATCAAAAAAGCATCACAAAATCACGAACAAACTCGGATTGCGCTTCGGCTTCGACATTGATATACGAATGAAACATTC